GTTTACACATCCTTTGGAAAGATCCAGCCATCGCATTTGAAATTTTTAACTGGCGGACGCAATCTCAATGTAATATGTACTTTAAAAAGCAAATTATATAAGCTATGATACCTAAATGACNNAAGATGCAAAACATACAAATAATGCAGAATTGCCCAATTGTGCATGTTAACTCTAGATGATGTATGAGGAATAATATAAAACAAGAAACCGCAAATTCATAATCAACATTTTGTTTAAACAATTTGATGTAAAACAAAAAGAACGTGTAATCATGGGTGTGTAAATATATATATATATACAATGTGTACTATATGACGTATAACAAAAACAGATATAGGTAGATAGATATATATATATATATATGCTACCCCCTGCGACGACCGCGATATAGACATAGTGTACTCCTGGCAGGCGACTCCGCTGAGATCGGCTGATGTGACATTCAACCCCTAAGCAAAAACACTGCTGAACTGCTCGTTTGTTATAAAGTGCAGGTTTTATGGTTTTGAGGTTCCGGTTTGGGGTTTAGCGTTTATGGTGTAGTTTTATTTTTCTATTTAAGAGTAATATTATGCAGTAAACGTAGTCATCCAGAAGCGATATGAGTCCATCTAGACAAAAGAGTTTTACTTGAACTATAATTGTGATTCGCTCTTGACATTTACTACTAGTCTTTTGACTCTTTTGGTACTGATACTTTGATGAACTATTACATAAGCACTTATTTCTACTACTCTTGTTGTATGTAAAAACTCTTGATGGTATTAGAACGATGTAAACCTTGTTACTATTACTCGTGTTATTAGTATCATTGATTATTGCTATTATTCATTATCTTCATTACTTATTTAACAAAATACTTATATCTACAATCCTTCTCTTGTAATCACTTTGAAAGCATCAGGGTTTATTTATCTCTACTACTACTCTTGAAGGGTTGAACGTGGGCGCCCACGTTTTTGTGGTGGTTGGATGCATAGGGCAAATTATAGTATTACATTTGTAATTTGGTATATATATATATATATACACATTTGTGTCAACCACCAAATCTCTCCCCGCCGAAAAGACTTTTACCCTTACCTAAGTTCGACTATCTCATTCAAGTGAAAAAAAATTAACTCTTCTTGGTGGGCATAGTGGTGATTTTTTGATGAACCTGGTGAACAGTAGTAATACCAAAATAACAATAGTGTTAGTAGTAGTAGTAGTGGTAGAGTAGTAGTAGTAGTAGTAGCAGTAGTAGTAGTAGTAGTAGTAGCAATAGCAGCACTGGTTGTAAACGTGCTAGCAACGATTGTGATCACCTTTGTGTTGAGCTTATGTCAGAAGATCAAAAAGTTCAAAAAAGTTTGAATTGAATTGAATTTTAAATCTAATAGTTACACTTACTTATTTAGTACGCTCCACTCATTCAATTTAGTAGGAGTAGAAGGATAGATGATACTAAACATTTTTGAACGAAAACCGAACAGTGGTAGAAAAGTATCTTAATTTCAAGATTTCCAAAAATTCGATATTTTCAAAATTGCTAGACCTAGTGGTCTTGCCTTTTCCAAAACATCAGGGCGAACGTTTTGGGAATTTGGGAACCCCTGTCTTTCCGAACATTTCCAAGACTGCCAAAATTTCCGAAAATTCCAGGAGAGCTGGTCCTTAACATTACGGTGAGAATTNNGAGAATTTTCTGAGCATTTCCGATCATGAGCATCAGGGCGCTGAAGCATTTAATGGTGCATAACATCAGGTCCATGGGCTCTAAGCGCCCGGCGTGCCTCTACGGGCCTTGCGGGCTTCCTTACGGGCCCTACGGGCCCTATACGGGCTCTACGGGCCCTACGGGCCCGTGCGGGCCTCTTGCGGGTCTACGGGCTGCGGGGCCCGGGCCTTTTTAACGACCTTGGCCGGTTCATCGGCGACATCGAAAATTTGCACGGCGCCATGGTGCCACGTTCGATCTCTGCAGAAGGTTCATCAGCGAAGTTGAAATTTCGCATGGCGCCACAGCGAAAGCGCTTCGACACGCACGATCCCTGCAGGTATAATGAAAGAGACTGGTGGTGCAGGTGCTCTGGCTGTAGGCGCTGTTCTGTAGGTCCTGTGATGTATGAGAGCAAGGCAAGCTTTTTGTTCTTCGCCGTGTTGACCGATACCTGTCTACACTTAACAGAAGAGCCCCGTGGTGTTTCCCCACGCTGTTTTTAGAGAAACACCACTCGCATTCGCTGCTAATTTCGAAACAACGCATCTGCACCGTGATCAACACGGAATGAACCATGGGCTATGTCGAGAACACTCAAGAGATGCTTGGGATGCATTGTCACGTCATTATTCCGTCAACGTCCGCATACCTGAGCACGACGTGATTTGGTTCGGGTCCACTCACTTAATCCCTCAAGCCACGACAGCACAGCCAACAAGAACATGTGACTATATGGTCAACGCACCAGAAAATGGAAACACCACATCTGAGCTGAACGATTTTACGGTCAAGCTATAAGGTGCGTCACGGACCACGAAACACCGACGTCCAAGAGCAGGCAACGGCAGTCGTGCACGATGGGGTCCCTGCATGGGCCAGACGCGCGGCTACGCAGACCGCCGCATCCGCAGGGGCATGGGCCTGAACCTATACTATAGCGCCCAGGAACCGAGATGCGCCATGCCTCCAGGGCCGGCAGCATCTTGCTGTTGCGGATCGAACAACTCGTCACGTGTCCCGGCCGACAAACATATATTCGGACGGTCGCTGCATTCGTTTCGCTCCGCTGCCGTGGCCATTTGTAAAAGAATCTAGTACTCAAGTTGCAGGGTGATGTAACTCCTTCTCGCCCTTGGAGCTCTTGCAATCGCTCCCGGTCTTGATTCTGTTGCAGAATCCTTTGCAAGATGATTGTGCACTCGCATGCAACTTGCGCTATTGCCTGTTCCATCGTCGTGTGCGCTCCCTTTATGTGTCCGACCGGTTGCGTGTGGGGGAAGCCGGCAGAATTGCGATGGCAAGGCAGCGTATCGGAGAGCAGAGGCTGACATTCCCAAAGGCTCCATGTACCCATATAGTAGATACTTAAGCCTTAAAGTGCCTATATAGGGACCCCTTTAAGGCTTAAGTATCTACTATATGGGTACATGGAGCCTTTGGGATTCTGGGTTCGTCGCAGCACGCGCGCGCGCGCGTGAACGTGGAGAGGATCCAAGGATCTTGATCACGTCTCGGTTTAAGATGCGGCTGTACATGTCGCAAGCCAGATGCTTACCAAGAAACCGCAGGTGCCCTGATCGCAAGAGCTGAGTCGATGCCGAGAGGCAGCATCTGGGTAGGGGTCCCTGTTCACGCACCCACCGTCTCCCACTTACAATGCACATGGCGGAATTGAAGCATTTGAATAGGGCTTTGCGCTTGTAGGGCATATTGGGTTTCTAAGCAACACGCCCGGCACTTTCAGCCCAATGAGGTCGTAGGAAGAAACTTCTGAAGAGGGCGAACCCCCCAGGTACCTACTAAATAGGATGCTAGAGCCCCTAGGGCCCTATATAGTAGGTACCTGGAGGGTTAGGGGAAGCAATCTACCGACGCACCTTGAGAATCTGCGGCAAGGGTGCAGGAATCAAGGCAAGAGCAAAATACGACGCTCCCCATATTCCGAACGAGCTAGTCTGAAGGCCTTCCGCCGCTGGCATATTCCAAGATCTCCTGACAGTGATTGATGTAAGGAACTACATAAATACCAATAATAGATTGGGGGCTCCTTATTATAATTATAGTATAATATACCCGGATGCTAATTGTGAAGGCCCCTCTATTGATTGCTCCCTTGTGCCGTTTGGTCTTTCTTCGAGAATCTACCAGCCGAAGTTTCTTTCAGGCATAGGACCATTTAGCTGCATGAAAGCGAGTAGTCCCATTGTCCGATGATCCATGGTCCATAACACCCAAAGCCAAACCCTCAAACCGCCCATCTGAAACTCCGCAAGTATCAACCTGTTCTAGCTTAGTCGGCCCGTCTATTTCAGTGTAACTCAAGCACACATCCCCCAACGGCATTCGACATTACGTCAACGGACCCTAGCATTCCGCAACAATGGAACTCAATTTCTGCGGGCTGAGTACAATGGAGCCGGGGATTGAAGAAAGAATGAAATCTGAGGGGCTGAGTACCCTAGCCCAAAAAAGGTTAACCTTTTGAATTATAGTAGGATTATATAAGCCCCAAAAGGTTAAAGGTTACCTACTCAGCCCCTAAGAAATAAATTTGTTGCAAGGGCGTTATGTGGTTTCATACGGTCTCATATAGGGACTTCACGATTTCGTACAGGTTCTTGGTGGTTACCGCGTCAAACCCTGCGAATTCGGACTTTCGGAGTTTTGGGTTCTGAGGAGGCTAAAGCAGAGGGTTTACATTCGACATGTCTGTTTATCGCGCTTTTCCCTAAGTCACAGCTGGCTTACCCCGGTACCATGAGCCTTTCGGCGCTCTAGGGCTTTACTGCTTCGGGTGCAAGCTTTAGGGCTTTTGATGGATATACCCTTTAACAGTGGTGGGGTATGGCCGTGTCTGCTAAAGTGTGCAATTCCTATAACTTCATGCGGAATCTCTGTGCGGCCAAAGCTTCGTAGAAGTAGCCATTACCGATGAAGAGTTCCTCAGTAGCTTGAGCGGGCAGTTTTGGTGGGCCTCATATCAACTTGGTGCATGTGAGGCTATGCGTACACAGCAGCACTCATCGAATGAGTATACTGTAGTCCTGACGCTCCCATTACTGTATGTGCCCTGTGTCTACATGACCTGCGTGATCATGAGCCATGCATGGTCTTCGGGTGCTCCAGAAGTCTCTCGAGACGTTTGTCGACAGCCCTTTGCCTCGATGAGGTACATAGGACGTGGGCTGAGCTTGACAGGCTCAAAGGCATGTTGAGTAGGGGTGGAAGAACTAGGGCTGACGGACACAAGATAGGTGTGACCAGCGGCATGGAGCCGGATGATGTTCGGATGATCGCGGCATTCGTAGAGCATGATTGCCTGGCGAGCGAGCTCTGCGTGAATCGGATGGAGGGGGCAGTCAATATTCCACTGGGGGTTCCATCTCAAACCAGTCCCAAACGCAAAGCCCTTCTTAAGCCCTGACACCCAGTTGCCTATTGCAAGACAAGCATAATGAGAGGGCAACGAAAGGGCTCATTAAAGTATATCCGAAGAGCCCTTTTAGGTGCATGGGGCTGAAGCTGGGCTGCTGATTCGAACACCGTTTAGAGACGAACAGCACTTGCCAAAGTTTGATTCAAGTTGAGAGTAGGGCTTGGCATGTACACACCCAGCCAAGGCAGCAGACGGACACATTCGTAGGGCGCAACAAGGTCAGGCTAAGGATTATAAGGATTTAGGAATTCTTGTCCAGACCATTCGTCTAAGGGCGAGAACTGAAAACCACCACCGAAACCACGCAGATGCCCAGGGACATTGCCCCGGAAGTGTGCATGATGATGATGTACCTGTAGTCTCCATTGTGGTTCCTTTTTGGTTTAACCAAACATATATTAAGGATTTTATAAGGTATCCCCGAAAAGGAGCTACAGTGGAGACTATGGGTAACGGGTATGCCTTACTGCTCACATGACGGGTATACCAGCACACAAAACTGGAACTCCAAAAATACCTGAAATGCCTCAAATTGTAAACGAGTATATAGAACACCCCAAATATCTCTAAGTCATGTACATCCTCTTGGTCCTAGGCCCCAAAGCCATTACGTGGCCCTCTCAAAGGTCCCCAAACGTCCTATCCCACGAGCCTGGCGCTTAATCAAATCAGGTGTTCGGTCGTGCTTGGAACTTCTGTCTGCTTTCCTGGCAAGGTCTCTTATACGGGTTTAGGGTTTTATGGGGCTTAGGGTTGTTTAGGGGTTTGGTTTAGGGTGTAGGGGTTTAGGGTTTAGGGTTTAGGGTTTATAAGATGCTACAAGCGTACATAGGGCCCGATAAAGGTTTTTGGTAGTGCTTTAGGGTTCCATAATGTTCAAAACAAAAAGGGTCCTAGAATGGTGCTATACGGCTTCTGTAATGGCTCCGGAAACTGTAAATTTGAGGTCATATCTGCTGAGTATCCCGCTCTCTAGGGTTTAGAGTCTAGCGCCCAGCAGGAGTTTGAGTCGCCCCCGAAACACCATAGTCAAGATTGTCCGCAGCTCTCTGCAGCTCCGACATCACAGCACCATCGCATGAAACTCGGAGTTCCAGAACGGAAACTTTCACAAAAGACAGTCTTCGGCCCAAGCCTAAGCCAACTGAGAGCAGCAAGCGGATGCTGGCACAGGGCATCATACGCACGAGGCCATGTAACTAGTGTTCCTCTCTAAAGGTGCAGGTATGCATTATGCTGGCATACTTGTTGCTGTCGGGCTCCTGTCACTTGCCCTCTTAGGTGCGAACTTCTTGAAGCTGCTCGGATTTTGGAACACCAAATCTCCAACACACAAATCCTAAACCGCAAATCCAAAATCCGAAACCCTGAAATCCGGTGGCAGCCCGTAAACCCCTCAAGCCCCAAAGCTGTGGTCCTGAGATTGTGCTGCTTGCAAGCCAGCAAGTTGTCCTTGCAAAGGCTTTCTGCGTCCATGTGTACTATGCAGGCGGAACATCGTGAAGACAAGACCACGACAATCACCATCTCCAAATTAAATAACAAATAACAACACAACCCACACGCAAAGACTGCTCTCACCTCCACCATCAGTTACCACCATCACTGTCGCCACCACCACCGCCGCCGCCACCGCCAGCAGCACCAGCCCCACCACCAACGCGTGCATCATCACCACAACCCATCAGCATTCTGGGCTTTCGGGCGAAAGGAGTAAACCAAGGGGCCTTTAACAGGCCCCCGTTGGAACAAGGACTAGCACCTCGGATTCCCTCTGTATGCAGTGGCCCACACTCTGGACTGACGTTGTTCAGGGGAAACGGCGGCGTAGTGAAGGAAAATACTGCGCAAGCAAGGACGACCTGTGCAGCAGATGGCCACAAATAGCAGCCGAGCATCTGTCTTCTTGTCAGACACGAGTCCTTGCTTGTGTGCGGACCATGTTTGGGAATGCTGGGCTTCTACGGGGGGCGAAGTTGTGCGGAATGAGTGCCCGCTGCTTCGACATAAATAAAAATAATCAAGAAGAAAGGCCATAGCCTTGACACTAGTCCAAAGAGAGAAACCCTAGCTCAGCCCTCAATACCCCGAGCCCCTCAACCCACCCGCCAAAATCCCTAAATATTTCCTAGCGTTGCGAAGATGACTAGGTTCTACTGAGACTTACCGTCGGTACATAAAAGTCATGATCTTTACGACCACTACGTGGCCTATTCTGACTGAACCAAACCACCCAAGAAGGTTCCCCTAAACCCTAAACCCTAAACCCTAAACCCCAAACCCTAAACCCTAAACCCTAAACCCTAAACCCTAAACCCTAAACCCTAAACCCTAAACCCTAGCCCAAACCAGGCCCCGGGTCGGATCACCACTTTCGTCCGCTTGGAGAGCATGGTATCTGAGAAGAAATACCTCTGGTTGCAAAATGGTGGGGTTAAGGTTTAGGGTTTAGGGTTTAGGGTTTAGGGTTTAGGGTTTCAGACGGAGGAGCTTTGGGTTCTGCAGGTGTGGGGTTGGGCTCTTATTTGGGCTTTTCGTGTCATGGGGGGTTTGGGGTGCTACAGGTTGAGGGATTTGGAGGTTTGTAGCTTTGCGGCTTTGTTAGTTGCGGATGTTGGGTGGTTTCATGGGATAGAAGTCTATGATGTCTTGGGGTTTAAGCTTGTGCAGCGTCAATTGCAAGTCTGGTCATAGGCCCAACGAAAACAACAATAAATCCATGGACGCACCTTCTTACATCATTAATGTTATGATCATGAATGTGCACCCAGAGGGCTATTATCTGAAGTTACGAAGGATGTCGTTCTCAAAACTTCCTAGCAGGTGTGAGCAGAGACACTAGGGCAGTCGTGTGACTAAGTCCATGCGTGCGTGCCTGGGGCTATATGATATGCCAAACTTTAAGCATCACCAAACCCACAGCACCCAAATCTTTATATGTGCAAGGGCTTCACGGGTTCATGCTCGAGGGGATTGCCGGCTTGCCGGGGATTGCAGGAGTGCAGTGATTTCGCTTTTCAGGGCTTCAGGGTTCATAAGCTCCATCAATCACCATGCCGAGTAGCAAAGCAGCCACATCGTGGTCGGCAGTCAACTTAGCACAGAGGTCTTCTTGGGCGCAGGGGCACAGACTTCAGTTTGATGGCTGATTCCGAAGCTTACCATGAAAGCTCCACCCAGGACCCTCAACCTTGAATCCTGCATCCGAAAACATGCAACTCGGAGAAGTTGCCTGCGGCCTCAATAACTAACCAGCTCGTCTAGGGCGGTGGGTGTTGGCCTTACCCTGGCCGCAGGGGGTATCAATGGAGTTTCTGTATCAGCTCTGCAGCAATTCCTCATGTCAAGAGCAGCGATGGTGAGAAAGCCGCGACTTCCGAATGATATGGGTAGTTGTCAAAATTAGGGTCGCTTTTGGGGTACCCTAAATAATAGGTGGCGTATTATATTAAGGACCCAAAAAGGAACCATAAACTTGACAACCACCCATATAGAGACGATAACCGCTGCTTGTCTCACGACGGCCGTGGCGCCGTAGCTGCGAACAGCAAAAGAACCACGGTCATAATCAAGGGTCAAGAGGACCAGGGCAATGACAAGAACTATCACATGACGACCACCATCATCACTCATTCCCATCATCGTCGCTATCGGACGCTATCAGCAGCATCATTTGGCATTTGCTTCATGTGTCATGGTCCTTGGACACATCCCCAGACATATCCCAGCATTTCAGTCCGAGCGTCGATATCAGGCAGCACGATTTTCCTTGGCTCCCGGTTCTGGTAGGGTTTGTCAGGCTTTGCGGGTTTATCGGGCTTAACTTCATTTAGTATTTAGGGGGGTTGTGCGGGGCAGTAGGTTCAGACTTCAGGGTTGTGTCATGCGAGAGGGCAGCTGCAGTTTTTAATGAGATGTGAACGGCCAAACCCTCTCTCCTTCAATAACCTTGGTTTTGAACAAACCAAAGATACCCAAAGCCTATCGACCAACAAAAGACAAACAATCATTGTAACATTCTCGTTGGCAAACCCTAAACCCCCAGGTACCTACTATATAGGGCCCTAGGGGCTCGATTACCCTATATAGTAGGTACCTGGGGGGTTAGGGAAAGTATATGAACCACCGAAGTCGCAATGCTGGATCCGTATTGTTATTGCTCTCGGCCGTAATCCTCGAACCCAGATCCCGGATCCGAAACAAGCAACAGTTTAGGGTTCATAGGGTTTAGGGTTTATAGGGTTTATAGGGTTTATAGGGTTTAGGATTGTAACCCTGGTGCCACAAACCCTGCGGGCTTCGAAAAGTCTTAATCCAAGGGGTGTATACCAGAACACAAGCGAAAGTAACTCCCCAAGAAGAACCCACGAGCTGTTACGTTTTATCCGAGAATAAACCTGAACTAACTGCCCCAAACCTTCCGCACCTGCAGTAGTTTGGAGTCTACCTGGACCCAAAGTAGCCAAATTTGCTTAAGGACTTACAAGGGACGGGAATTCATAATCAGGAACCCTAGGTTTCCGAAGGTCCCCTAAACCCTAAACCCTAACAGCCCTAAAAACCCAAAACCCTAAACGCCCTAAACCTTAAACATCCTAAAGACCCTAAAAGCCCTAAAAACCCAAAACCCTAAACCGTAAACCCTAAAAAACCCTATACCCATGACGACAAAATGCTCCCGGCCCAAGATTCTCTAGCCGCTCCTCCAAGGTCAGTCCCCTTTCCGAGGCCTCAGCCATCCGAGACTACTTGCCGTACGGGGCCTAAATGGGAGTTTCCGGAAAATAGGGGTACCTTATTTTGGGGTCCTTATAATAAGGATCCTACTATTTAGGGTACTATATTAGGGTCCCCTGTTTTCGGAAACCCCCAAATTAGTACCTATACTATACCCATAGGCCCCACAGTACTTCCTTCTGGGGGTTACCTTATAGGATTCTATATATGAACCTTAACAAGGAACTACTTTAGGGCCTATGGGTATGGGGAGGGGGGGTCCTGTTATAAGGGCAAAGCAGTACTATAGGGGCCTTAAGAATTACCTATATTTGTTTGTGTGGGGGGGTTCCTGATTGCAATTATAGTATGATATACCCCAAAACCCTTTTTCTAATTATTAAGGCCCCTGTATTACCAAGAGGGTCCATGTGGGGTAACCGTTTGGGGTTTTAGGGTTTAGGGAATCGGGCTTCGGAAATGTCATGGGAGCATCGCAGTGGCATTGCTGGTAGTGGTAGCAGTCGTCGTCGTCG